CACTTATTCTGAAACCTGTCACTTATTCTGTTAGCATACACTTCTTAAGGTCCACATTTGAGCGACCACTTTTTCTATAGTATTTTGTTGCTGTAAGGCCACAATTTCCCCATTGTGATACAATAAAGGGATTTTCTATTCTATATTAAGTAATAACTGCATATGTTAGGCTTCTGTCTGTTTTCACAGAGAAAGCATCAGACACTGCTTTAAAACCAACTAGAGACTTAAATCAGGCGAAATGGGGAGCACAAAAGGCTCCCAATAAGGGTGTAGTCCAATCCTGCTATAAGTACTCCATAATTGTTTTGGGGCTGTTCTCTTTTTCCAGCTGCCTGTCTGTTTAAAAAAATATGTGACAGTTTGAATATTTAATCCTTTGCTGTTCCAGAGAATCACTGGAGCAGATTTCAAATTTAGGCTGAGATTGTTTGGTCAAGCCATCAATGGAGATATTGATCGTGGAGATGGTAGGCTGCCAGATATTGTTGTGGGATCACAAGGTGCTGCGGTTGTCTTGAGGTATAATTTTGTTTGTGTTTCAGTAGAAAAAAGTTATAGATAAAGAGAAGTTTAATGCTTAAAAAATGTGGCATGAGCTGATCTATTTTGTGTCTTCCAGGTCCAAGCCTGTCTTAAACGTCGAGGCTAAACTGTCATTTTATCCTGACATGATAAGCATTGAGAATATTACCTGTCTGGGACAGGAGAAGGATGACATTTTACCGATGGTTAATGTAGCAGCTTGCTTTGTAATGGAGGAAGCAACAAAGACCAATGCAGGTGGGAACTCAAATATAGGATTTTAACCAGCAGTAACTGTCCATTTGTTATTTTAATGCCTCAGTTATCCCCTGCAGGGCCAGGAATAAATATCTCTCTGATGCTCATGGTGGATCCAAACAGGCCAATACATCGAGGTTTCTTCCAGGACAATAAAAAGAAAAGCAGGAACATCACACATACCTTAGAGCTGACTGACAAGAAAACATGCTTCAACTATTCTATCTTCATGCATGTATGAATAATTCGTTTTCTTTTGGCATCAGTGTTACTGAAAAGAAGTTTCTGCTCTTGTTTTTGCAAAAGAATGCTTCACACTGTTACTTCTGTTTTCCAGAGATGTGTAAAAGACACATTATCTCCAGTCCAAATGAAATTAAACTTTTCCCAAAGTGACAGTGAGAATGCAATTGGAGTTTTGAACATGGACAGCAAAAGGAATGCTACAGTCGATGTGGGTACAGTTGCTTAACTGGAGCTGAGGGCTTATGAAATATAAACACATACTCAGTTTGTTTATCAGTCAACTGTTTTTTTTTTTTTTTTGTTTTTTTGTTACAGGTTCCTTTTGTAAAACATTGTGACAAGGAAATCTGCATCCCTGACCTCAAAGTAGATTTTAGATTCACGTATGTATTTTTAAACAAGTAAAGCTGTTGGTTTCCCTTAATTAAATCTTAATGAATCCATAAAATACTATTTGTATTTTAGGTCTGACGAAGTCTTGGTGACAGAAAATAATGGCTTCAGTGTGTTGATAACCTTGGATAATATTGGTGATGACTCATACAACACCAGCCTGACATTGCACTATCCTCCAGGCCTCTCTTTCTCAAAGATGGAGCCAACAGGGGTAATTAGGTGTGAGTGTGTATATGCAAGGTTTTATGTGATTCTATGATAGAATGGAAACCTGTCCAGGGTGTGGCCTGCCTTATGTCCACCGTCTGCTGAAAATACCATGGAGCAACAGTGAACAGACACTTGCATTGTGTCATTGAATTTGCAGCAATCCTGCCTACTGAGCATGCATACAGTGACAGTGGAGCAGAAAAACTAACCGTTTTAACAGAAAGAAAGCTTTACGTAAATCAGGCTAAAGGCTGGTTTATACTCAGAAAACAGGTCGTCTGCATGTGTGTCACAGTGAACGCAGATACACCCCCGCCCCCTCTGCAGACACTCTGGCGCACCTCTTCAAAACTTTAGGTGACCGCAGACAGGAGGCCTCTGATTGGTCAAATCTACATCCACTCTACACTATGAATATTTCTTGTTGGTTCCTCACCAGCTTGTTTTTTAAGTATGACCTCCATTGTGGAAAAAACAACTCTGGAAGATGGACCAGCTAGAACAGCGAGGGGCGCAAGAATGCTGGGACCCTTTTTCTGTGTGAATCCCTGCTTTTTTTCCCGCTAATGTCCCTCCATTGTCGCACAAACTTGCCCCTTTAATTTTTCCTCTTCCTCACCACCTCGGCCGTATCTGGACCCACAGCTAGTTCGTGATTGTCCCTCTTGCGTTGTGGTGTGGAATAACATAGCGTAGACCACACTTCAAACTTGGGCATAAATCAAAAATATCTGCATCATACCTGCGACAAGTTCACTCCGACACACTGCTGCGACAGCATAACCAGCCCTTATATGTGAATGGCGTTGAGCAAGAACTAAACTGGGGTTTGAGAAGAAAAAAGAAGTCACAGAAGCATTAGTACAGAAGTGCTTCCTATGTGAGAAGAAAGTTTAACGTTAGTAACAGTAGCATCTCTTCAAGTGCTCTATCTCGGAGTGAAACACAGCTAAGCAGATTAACTTTGAGCCAATATTTAAGTTTAGAGCAGGGGTCATCAGCGTGGTGCCTGTGGGCACCGAGGGGCCCTCAGGGGCCACCAAGGGGCCCTCAGGGGCCTTATGGGGTGCCCACAGTATCTTCTGAAAACAGCACAACTCACCAGTGGGCAAAGATTGAAATATTTATTTTATTTTGTTGCCCTTCTTTTTTATTAATCTATAGGGCATTTCATCCTTTTAAAGCTACAGTGTGTAATAATTACAGGGATATACAGTCAGAAATGTAATATATTATACATAAC